GACTGACAACTCCAAATGCCTCTGCCTGGTCGTTTTAATTCAGGGAAGATTTACATACATACCACTCAATTCTTATATATTCACATGTATATGCAGGTCCATCTAATTCTACCAAATCATTTCAACAAAGTAATCTGTTTCTTGAAGGAGCAATTTTTACCCAACACTCGGGGAACTTGAACTTAAGTAACAACCACAACGACACCATAGATGTCTGATTGGTTAAAAAGATAAAATAACTGATGACGACATCATAAACGTGTGATCAGTCATAAGGGCCAACCAGAGATCTTCCCTCACCACATGCTTGATTCCAGCGACGTGGATCGGATAATAACCCGCAGATGATTCTCTGCCGAGTAACGACGAGCTCCGTGAAGAGTAAGATTATAATCATCCTAAAAGACAGCCTAGGCGGCCTTCTTCCATAAAACGTAGATCCACCCTAAGGTGAAGGCCCAATCGAGCAACCGGGGCCTACGCAAGTAATAAAGTAAAGAACTTGCTCCTATGCCCTTGAGATGACTCATCACCGGTCAACGACAAGCTTCACTAGGGGTATACGACGATTTTCTTTAGCACTTGAGATGACTCACCACCCGACAACCAAAATCTCTGTGAGTGAGGGGTATACGACAATTGTCTTTTGCCTCTGAAATGACTCGCCACCCGACAACGACAAGCTTTGTGATGGGTATACGACAATCATTTTTGGCCCTTAAGATGATTCGTCACTCGACAACGACAAGCTCCGCAAGGGGTAATGGGTGAATCATCTTGGGATCATTCAACTACTAATCGATTACAGCAGATGGCGCCAAAGATGCCAGAACCGAGCGTGAAAAACAACTAATAGGGAGTATCGTCAATAATTCATGTGTTGATGATTTGTTTGATTTATAATTTCTATGTTCTTATCACATTTATTGCCATCAAGGAGCAAGGAAATTGAATAACTTAGTATCTATGCTAAAAAATGTTCTGCACAGATCTCGAGACAATCCAACAGTCGGAATAAGGAGACTAGAACGCCTTTTGCTCGTCTCTTTAAAGCGAGTCTAATAATGTAATTTGATACATTGTCCTTCCTATCTTCTATAAATTGGAGGGCTATAGCTTGTATTAGGGACTTTTTATCTCCCCCCGCTTGTAACCCAGTTATTTAACTGAAAAAAATTGATCTAAGAGCCCCGGGAACACTCCATTCATCCCAACGGGGCAAGTCTCCCTCTCCTCCTCTTCTTCTTTTCTTTCCCTCTTCTTCTTTCTTTGCCTCAGTCGTTAGGCTCTATCCCTTGGGCATGATCTGACAAATCTGGATTCAACACGCTGCTCGCAGTCTCGGGCGTTAACTTCAAGCATTAATGCATTAATGAGCAACAAGTGGTTGTATATTATCATGGATCCGGAATTCTTCTCGGTATTATGAATAATTCAAGCATTAATGCATAATGGATGAAATTTTCTCGTATTCATTATAATCCATGATTGACCAAGAAGAGCTTTAAATGAAGGATCGACATCTATCACATGAAATTTAGCACAGTACATAATTTCCCAAATTTTAATAGAATGATGAAAAATCTCAGCCTTCTACACTTTCTCATTAAAATCATGAACTATCAACTTATCAGGCCGCAAGTGTTGAACATCAAGGCACAACCACCTTAAAACTTTCAAACTCATCAGGTTTACCGAATAGGCAGTACCAATTATCATTCTATCATTCTTCAGTGAATGTAATTGTTGGAGGTCCTACTCTTGTAAAACTTTTCTTATACACCATTCAACAGAATATGATTCATATCTCTTTGGTTCTTTAAATGATCGTAACAAAGTTTCTCGAAGATCTTTTGACATCAAGTGAGTTTAATACACACTGAGTTGTGCAGGAACTTTTCGCAGATGCAACAAGATGAGGTTTGCCTGAAGTTGGCTGCTTCTTTGAGTCTTTAAGAAAAACTTGTTTGTTAACCGTAATGTTTTTACCATTGTTTTTATTTGATCACTCCTTTGGTGGTAAAGGCAATACCCTGTCACTTCGCATTTGAATTTTGACCACTTCATCTGATTTAGAAGTTTCTGATGTGGTAGTTTCTTCATAAATTTTCCTTGCTATTTCAAAAGACCGAGAGGAAGCTGATAGGGGTTCAATTCCTCGGTAAAGTGCAAATACTCTAAACTATCATCTGATTGTAGAACCATCAGACAGTAACTTATACACTCCAGAGGGCTAACTACTTGTTGATATGAACATAAATTTTGGATTGTTCGTTTGATTTGCTTCTTTAGGCCTTTTACACTCAGATAATTCAAGTCCGCTTTGAGTGCTTGACTGAATAATTTTGCCCGACACTCTCTTTGAAAAAATCATTCTTTGTTTTTCTTCTCTTTGAGGCATTGGTGTGCTCATTTTTTTATTCTCGTTATTTAATTTGGATGCTTTCCTCCATCAAAGGTAATGGGCTTGTGATTTCCTCCCAATACTAATTTTGGTTCCGGATTGGAGTTGATTAACTGCTTTCTTCTTTCATTATCATAAATATGTTGTTTTCCCTTATCAACGTTTAAGGTCACCAGTTTTCTTTTATCAAAAATCAAAATGAATAATGTGGTATTCACTTATTCTAGAGCACAAAACTCTATTTCTTCTCACTCTTGTCGATATGATTTTCAGATTTAAAGAAATTTTGCTCCTCAAATTTGGCTATTCTGTCAAGAAGCTCTTGGAACGGAGTGATAAAAGCTATATATAAGTAAGAAACCATTTAATGGTTAATATTGCCCATTAATAGTTGAAATACATGATTATGTTCTAATTATTGTTCGCATTCCATGTTTAAATTACATTAACGAGTGATATATTGTCACACTTTAAGTTTTTCTAAAAGGATGTCAGCTATAGTTGTCTTTTTTTCCGTAGTACTGACAAATCTCTTAACAAATATGATTTCAAGCAGAACGAATGCTTTAGCAAAGTCATTGGCTAGCTTCACCTACCATTCGAAAGTTTGAGTTGATGAAAGAGAAACAAATTTGTGCCTCTAATGTTGCCAGATGAAACTTTGAATTGAGTCACATGTTGCTTGGGATTGCCATTATCATTGAAGAGATTGAATTTTGATATCGAGTAACCTTTATAATAAAACATTTGATCATATTCTGTTGGATATGGACGACCTTGACCAATCAATATCTCAGCCTGTTTTGAAGCTATGACAACCTTGATCTTTTCATTTATAAAACTTTCTAACCAACCAATTATCACGGGCTCATTAAGATTCGGACAATTGAAATTTTTTCAATCCTTTTTTAGGAGCTGCATGTACTCTAGAAGCTCAGTGTTGAATTTGATGGTGGATTAGCAAGAGCACTACTAGATATCTAACTGTTGTCAAGCAGGGCAAAGATCGTACCTACGACAATATTATTTTGCAACATCTCCATTATAGTATTCACCTGTATCATCATCTCATTCATTTTGGTGTTGATCAAATTCATAAGGTAGCGAAATTATTAAATTTGGCTAAGTTCTACAAAACAGCCCTCAAATCTAACATGTAGAGCATTTAGTAAAGGAGCTGAATTTGGAGAACATACAAATTAATTCATTTGCTATGGTTCAATATAATTTTTCTCCTTAATTTAAACTGCATTTTTATAGTTCGATGCCACTACATTTATCATAATACAAGTTGACTTTAAAATATTAGAACAATGTAAAATTAATTTTACCGAATCTTTGGAAAAAAACATCAATAATATTTAATTAAACTTAAGAAAAATCACATATTTTGATAAACAACTCAACATATTCAAAATCCCACCCCTCCCCCCCCAAACACACACACTAAAACTTATTAAACAGAGCTCCAATAGCTGAAAAAAAAAGACACTTCCTTTAAACATTTGCTCTGGCATTTATTTATCAAATTCAAACCCATCACAGAATCCACACAACCAAATTTCTTTCCTTTAACGCATCACAATTGTCACCTCCTCTGCAAACAAAACAGAGCTGGGGTATTATATATAGTTACAAGCAGCTCCGTGAATCAGATAAATAAATAAATAAATTATTAACCACGAAACACTTTCACCGTAGAAAAGTATTAGAAAAAGAAAATAAAAAAACTCAAAAAATCAAATAAGGGTTGAATCATAAAATTGGCAAATTTGGCTTGTAATTGCCATAAGCACCACGTCTGTGCAGAAGTGAGCAGAAGCAAAACAACGGCAGAAATTAAGGAGATGATAGCCCGTGGATTGCTAAAATACTTGTGACTCAGGCTGGCCATCCAAGCATTCTACCTATGGTTACAGTAGCAATTTACCTTCTCCGATGGCTCCAACAAGAAGCAGTCATTTAAGTCGAACACCACCTCCTGGGAAAGCCGGTTGAACAAATCAAATGCTCGATAATTCCCCTGTAATGCTGTTAAGCGCTGGAGCCCGATCCACACCTCTTGATCCCGCTCCCGCACTCCCGATCGCAAAACAGTTGCGACCCGCTCGCGACCCGCTTCCCTTGGCATCGATTCGCGAACCGCAGACACAAGCGTCTGACGCAAAGCAATTGCTTCGCTTGGTCATGCTCAACTGTTTCCGCTTTTTCCTAGCGATATAAAATTCCTGCGGCTCTCCTTTAGAAAATTATTACGGTTGGTGTTCTTCTTCGATTTTTTCGGGATAGAGGAAGAGGAGTGCAATGTGTAGTTCCTTGCGATGAAGAAAGAAGAAGAAGAAGAAGATTGTTCTCCCTTGAATTCTTCTTGGTGGTTTGTGGCAGAAGAGAAATTGAGTTTATTTTTCTTGTAAATTTATCTTCTTCGGTGTATTTCGGTGTAGAGTTTTTTCGGTGTATCTTGGTGTAGAGAGAGAAGAACAGAGAGAGAGCAACGAAGTGTGAGATTCCTCTTGTAATTCGAGGTGATCGACTGGTGTAAATTCCTCAGGTAGTAAAATCCTCTGCAACTCTGTGGACGTAAGCAATTTGTAAAACCATGTAAATCTGTGTTCTTTTATGATGTGATTTTTCTCGTTCTATTTTTCGCTTTGTCAATCGTTCACTTGTTTGATTTATATATATACCGCATCAACTAGTGTATCTCTTATTCCAACAACTGGTATCAAAGCCGTGTTTCAGATTTGATTGAGGAAGAATGATGACTGCAGATGAAATGAGGGTTTCAGCGATTGAGAAATTTGATGACACAAATTTTGGTTATTGGAGAATGCAAATGCAGATAGAAGACTATCTTTATGGGAAGAAACTTCATCTTCCGTTATAGAGGAAAAAACCTGAAGGGATGGATGAAGCTGAATGAAATTTGTTGGATTGACAAGTTCAGGGGGTTATTCTATTGACCCTATCGAGGTCCGTTGCCCACAACGTCGTCAAGGAGAGGACGACTGCAGGTCTCATGGCAGTACTGTTAGGTATGTATGAAAAGTCATGGGCGAATAACAAGGTGTACTTGATGAAGAAGTTACTCAATTTGAAGATGACGGAAAGTATTTCTGTTGCTCAACACCTGAAATGTTTCAATACTATCACAAATCAATTGTTGTCTGTGGAAATTGATTTTGATGATGATGAGATACATACATGCGCTGATATTGTTGGCATCGTTGTCAAATAGTTGGGAAGCCATGAGGATGGAAGTTAGGAGTTCTACATGTAAACCTAAACTGAAATTGGATGATATTTGTGATTTGATTTTGGCTGAGAAGGTTCACACGAAAGATTCTAGCGAGATCTCAGGTACGAATTCAACATTAAATGTTGATTTCAAAGGAGATGACATGACAAGAACTCAAATAGAGGGATATCAAAATCAAAATTTGGCCAACAGATAACCTGTTAGAATTGTGGCAAGGCTGATCATATAAAGAGGAACTGCAGGAATCCCAAGAATGTGAAGAATGATAACACAAATGTGATATCTGAAGAAATACATGATGCACTATTGCTGACAGTTCATAGTTATGTTGATGATGGAAGTGAAAAGGAAGTGGGTACTGGGCACCCATTTCTATTGTTCCACAGACAGATGATGGAGGACCAAAGAGCTATGAAAAAATCTTGCAAGATGATAGTTTGAGCAAGTGGTAGTTGACAAAACTTTCACCAGGGAAGAAGACATTACACAACAAGTGGGTGTACCAGGTGAAAACTAAGCATGATGACAATAAGAGGTATAAGGCTAGACTTGTTGCAAAAAGTTTTCAACAGAGACATGATATTGCCCATGCAGTGAGAGTTGTAAGCAGATACAAGAGTAATCTAGGAAATAGCTTGGAGGTGCAAGACTATTTGGAGCTTGCGGATATGTTGACTGAGGGTGTTACTCTTAAGAAACTAAAGTTGTGCGCAACTTCAGTTGGTCTTTTGGAATGAAGACAGAGGTTTTGAGTTGCAGGTGTAGAAGATTCAGCGCAACTTCAGTTGGTCTTTTGGAATGAAGACAGAAGTTTTGAGTTGCAGGTGTAGAGGATTCATGGAGGATTCATGTTTGAAGAAAAAGGGTGACATCGTCAGTGGAAGATTTCAGTTTGAGGAAGAAGACGTTGTAGCAGATGTATCGGTCTCCAAATGGGAGATTGTTAAGCATTGGAGCCCGATCCACGCCTCCCGATCCCGCTCCCGCACTCCCAATCGCGAAACAGTCGCGACCTGCTCCCCTTGGCGTCTATTCGCGAACCGTAGGCGCAAACGTCTGCCGCGAAGCTTTGCTTCGCTTTGTCCCGCTCAACTGTTCCCGCTTTCTTCTCGCGATAAAATGTTCGCACGGCTCTCTTTTAGAAAATAGTCACGGTTGGTGTTCTTGGATTTCCTCGGTATAGAGGAAGGTTTCCTCGGGATATAGAAAAGAAGTGCAAAGTGTAGTTCATTGCGATGAAGGAAGAAGAAAAAAGAAGAAGATTGTTCTCCCTTGACTTCTTCTTGGTGGCTTGTGGCAGAAGAAAAATTGAGTTTATTTTTCTTGTAAGTTTATATTCTTCGGTGTATCTCGGTATGGAGTTTCTTCGGTGTATCTCGGTGTAGAGAGCGAAGAACAGATAGAGAAGAAGAGAAGCAACGAAGCATGAGATTCCTCTTGTAATTCGAGATGATCGACTTGTATAAATTTCTCAAGTAGTTAAATCCTCAGCAAATCCGCGGACATAGTCAATTTGCCGAACCAGGTAAATCTGTGTGTTATTTTATGGTATGATTTTTCTCGTTTTATTTTTCATTTCGTGGATCATGATTAATATATATATATATATATATATATCACATCAACTGGCGTAAATCTTATCCAACAACAAATACGAACATGCACATCCGAGTTTATGAGGTTATCCATGAAGATAACGTAAGACGTTATGTGAGTTAACGTAAGACGTTATGTGATCCGATTAAGGAACAGAGATTTGGTCCCGTCGTGGATAAGAAGGCGGGGGATGTGCATAACGCCGTCCTTAAACTTGATTTCCCAAAACCCATCACTTTTTTCAGCGACGCAGTGGATGAGCTGTAACCACTGCTTGTCGGCGACGGGCAGCGTGTGAAACCTGCGCCGGAGAATCCATGGCCGGGAAGCTAGTTTTGGGCCCGGGAGGAGGAGGCTGCGGCGAAAGACGTCGAGGCAATGGAGGGCTTCGCTACTGCCGGCGTCGAAGAGAGGATCGAAGGAGGTGGCGGAAGGGAGGGGCTCGTCGGTGGGCCTAAGGGGGTCGAAGAAACAGAGGCCGAGGACTGAGCTGGTGGACGAGAATGTAGTCGAGTACGAAGAGAGGGAGCTGATTCTCGAGCATAATCATGTCCCACTGGAGTGAGTGCATAGTTCCTCTTAGTAAGGGAGGCCCTTGCCTGCAATGCTGCCGAAGAATTCAATGGCCAAAACGGGGTCGAGGACGAGGGATTCGACGAATGAGTCGGCGGAGTTGGAGAGGGGAGCTTCGTTAGCATTAGGTCATCAACGCTCAGTTTTCGATGCGTATGGAAAGGTAATTGGGTAACAATAACCTCCCACTAACCTTTTAAGTATATTTCCCAGTTAGATGCTCATATATTTTCCAGGAGAGATTTGTGAGGTTATTGGGCGTATTAACCCCAATAACAACGACATAACCCTCCAATACCCTCCAAATAACCATCATACACACACAATTCGTCTCAACGTTTTCAGGAATTATAATAACAGTTATTATAAGGATTTATTGAAGTAATACTGAAAAATGTTAAAGAATTCTATAATAAATTTATTAAAGGGCCATTTCTCATTGACACTAAAAGTTTAAAGGAAATTTGCATACGTAGCACACAATTCTTATGAATTTATATTTTTCACAACTAAATTTTCGTTTTTACATGTACAACATTTTACTTATGCATGAAAAGGTTGACTTTCATTGTTACCCAAGTAATTTTCGCATTTCTTAAATTACCACGTGGTAGCCTGAAAGTATTGAGTTAGCCTCATTAGGGTGTAAACGAGCAGAACACGAACGAACATAGCTTGTGTTCGTGTCCGATTCGTTTAAAATTTAGTTTGTTTGAAATAAGCTCGTGTTCGAAATTGTTCGTGAAGTCACTGTTCGTGTTCGTTTCTTAACGAACGAGTCGAACACGAGCCGAACACGAGCTGTTTTCGAACGACGAGTCTGTATGACACCTCTAATATTAATATATATAAATAATATATTACATTAATTATATAATTTATATTATATAAATATATAATATCTATATTAGCATATTATTTATATAGTATATTAATATATTATTATTATTATTAATTTATTATATATTATAATTTATAAAATTTAATTTTTTAAAATATCATAAATTATATATATATATAATTATTTTAAATTATTTTATATTTTGAACAATA